ATGGCATTAATGCTTTGCATTTGACTGAGTAGCATTAGCAACTAAGAGCCAACAGCCTGTGTTTTTATGTTTTGGTTTGTTTGTTTTTTTCAAATACATCACTTTCTCTTGTTGTTTGATTAGAGGTTGCTTGGTCCCCATGGGATTTCTGGCAAATTGACACATTTTCACTTGAAAACAACATGAAATATTTTTTACTGAACTAGATTAGAGATCTAATGTATTTACAATATGCTGGCTTTATGACTTTTTTCACAGGGTTCAGGTAACGTGGTTCTCCAGAGGGCTGTAGACGGGACTCCCCTTCAGTGGTTTGTCGCCGAGGATGCTGAGATTGTGAGCCAGGTGTAGCTGACACGCCTAAAACCTCCTGCAGTATGATGACTCATTCCTTTATTTATTAAGTCTTTAGACTCTCTGTGAGATTGTTTGTTGACATAATGCAGAAAACGTGGACCTGTTGGTATCACTGATTAATTTAATGTAAGGTGATATGCCAGTTTTATTTATTTGGTAATACATCTGAGGTGAAATAAATCTGATACAGTTTCATAGCTTGTTTCAACAAAGACCATAAACTTGCTGTTGTTTGAAGACCTTTTTTTGTGGCTGGAACACACTTTGCACATGCAGTTTACCCACAGTAGATTTAAAATAGCTTTCCTCATTTCTAATATAATTTTTGACTTATATTCTATATTTATTATTTAAAGACACCCCCCCTTCCTTTGCAACATAGACTTATCACTAAAACTATGATACGCCACCTATAAGCACGCACAGCAATGAGTTTTTAAAGGTATATGTGTAGATATACATAGTGAAATCTGTCTGATAATGATGTGAAGTGAGCTGAATCTTAATATTTGAATCTTGCTTATTAACTCCTATTAACCACTGATGCCTTTAAAGGCAATTTTGGTGAAAGTTTTCACTGCAGTATGGTGTTTCTTACTAACCGAGTGATTGTATCAGTTTTGATATGTTTTGTATATTTATAATAAAAATATTACCAAAATGACCCATCTGAGTGTACCCCGCCTCTCGCTTTATGTATGGGCTCAAAGTGTGGTCATAAATATTTTGTACTTGTAAATCAGTTTTGTATGTGTAAAAAGAATTTGTGTGTGCGTAAAAAAGATTTGTGTGTGGACAAAAAGTAGGTGTGAAACTCTGCACTCAAGTTTCAAGTTACAAATACGAATTTTGACCCTATTTTTCTTCCTTTCATCTGATTGGCCAATGTCATGTCAATCACAAATTTAATAATTCAATAGGAGAACAGAGGGGTTTGGCTATCGGAGGGGTGCTTTATGCAGTGTTGCCAACTTAGCGACTTTGTCGCTATATTTAG